CATTCAGATTCTATGTGACATCTTGGTTGAACTAATAAACAGATAAATTAATAAATCAGCAAGCCGATGTTAATATCTTCACATTTTGAGTCTAGAAACTTCTTAATCCACCACATTTATGATATAGACCACACTTTTTCACATGTAGAACACATTGCCAGAATATTGTAGCCACTGCCTCTTATTGAACCTTGATTTTCTGCCAGTCCCTATCTTCCTTTCAACTCCACCCTTCACTCAAATGGCCTTTCCATTCTGTGACAGGACCATGTTCTCTTTTGTATTTTGGTCTTCATGCTTTCCTTTGCAGAAATCATCAGTTTCCCTCCCCCAACACATTCTAGCTCCCACTTTTCACTTTCTTAGCTCCTACTCAACAACCTAATAGCTTATACTCTGGGAAGCTTTTCTTGATATCTGAAGTCTACACTTTTATAATTGACAGCACTAAGACTCAGATAAGATCCTGAAGGCCTCACAGCTTGTAAGTGCAGAGTTAACATTATCCTGGTTTATCAGACTTCAGAAAATCATCATCGCCTTTATGTTACTTCTTATAACAACTCAAGGAACAAAAGGGGTATGTGACTAGCCTAGAGTTGTAGCCCGAAACCTAGATGTATTTTATTACATCAGAGCAATCCCTCTCATTGGCATAGGAAAAACACAGCCTTATGAAGTGGGAGAAGAGTTTATATAATGCACTATTGACCAAATTACAAAAGATACCTCATCACTACAAATCACAAAATAAGTTCCTGGAAAAGCATCTATAAGGCCACTACTGATTTAAAGAAAAAATCACTGGGCACTTCTTAGAGCTCGTATTGGCTTGAATGATATTTAGTCTAGACACCAACCTCCTCTTTGTTATTGTTAGCAGATGAAACCTAGTGGCCTTTTTCATGGGCGCCCAAGAGTATCAAATGAGCTGGTTCACTCTGTTTTCTTACTGAGTAATCACTGAATGGCCAGTAGGATTACTTAGCAATCAGATAAGTGACATTTCAACCCCTTGTTCTGACTTCAGTGTCTAGAAACTATCAAGTGAAACACGGTTTTGGAAATCCACAAACAATAGCTTCTATGCAGACAGAAATGCAGCAACGAGGAATGTGTACATGTCAGACTGAATTGTGTCAACTGTGGTGATGGGAATTACTATTTTGTAAAAATCCCCATCTAAACCAGCAAATAACTGGTTTATAATGAAGTTTTGCTCCAAAGACACCCACTACTTCTACTTGTGTGCATGTAAGAAAGTGTTTGGGGGCCTCAGTCAAGGTAAAAACCAATCTCTACTTTAACAGCCCAGAGAGCCTCAGCTTTGGTCATATTTCTTTGTCTGTCAAGAAAATTTCTAGTTGCCTTTTTGAAGAAGCAACATTGAATTTACACTAAAATTTGTAATTAATTTAAAACTACATGAAGTTGTTCAATTTCTCCTCTTGCCCACTTCCTTCCATCATAACCCTACAAAGCCAGTCTTAATCATCTCAGGATATAGTGCCTATTCGAACGGCAGCACTAAAAATGATGTTGAGAGTTGACAATGATCACTTTTATGAAATATATATGAGGACATAAAAAACATGATAAGGTTCTCACTGAATTCATTTTCTTCATAGGGCCATACATTAATAGGCACATTCTGACAATGATCAAGTTTTATACTTTTCCTGCACCCCCTAATCGCTCTCAAAAATTCACAAAGGAAGAGGTTGACTAATATTTTCAGAGAATTCGTCTATAAAATCAACACACGTTACCTCAGAGCAAAGAAACTTCAAACAAACAGGATGTCCCTGGAGCCAGATGTTCTTCCTAATAATCTAACTAAAGGGATTAACAAGTTAAAGACAGAATAGGACAAACATACACATCACATCAACAATTCAATAAGAGGAAAAGGAGTCCACAAGGCCAAATTGGTAGTGGCCAGATAGCACTGCTCAATCCAGAGTATGCTTTGCTTAAAAGAATTATACACACGCCTATGGTAGAGTCAATTGTGCACAGAAAATGACCTGGGGTTTATGATTGATATATATATATTACTAAACAATGATATTAATGGATGAGTAATTAAGAAGTCTCAATGGCAGGGTTTTCTGCCAATATAGATGCTTGCCAAGTTACTAAATAATAGAACCACACATCTAATTCCTCAGATCTGCCTCTTCTGATGTCATTTGGTCTTCTTGATGATAAATGAGAAGACCGCAGTGTCCCTAATCCCACTCTAAATGTTGATCCTGGCATTGTGGTTTTATAATCAGTTTCTGACTTGAGTTCTTATAAAGTGTGCACAATCATGCTTCTCAATCTACAGGCCTGAGGCAGATCTTGAATGCTGGCTCTTTAAGCAATACTCTGTCACTGAAGCTTGAATAAAGGATGCCTTCCCTGGGAGACATTATTCCATCTGCTAATATGTTCCTTTTGTATTTCTTCCACTATACTTTCTACAAAGTAAACACAAATATCCAAATACACAGTATTTTAGGTCACGTAACAAGTTATTTTCTTGACTCTTATCTTGAAGGACAGTCTTCCCTGTGCTGGCATGATCCATACCTCTTGAAATTTCAGTTATGTTTACTATCAGAAGCCCTTCCACATGACTTTCCTCAGCTACTAAGCTCTTTTCATTATAAATCTATGCATCTCTTCATCCTATTTAAAAGATTAGTACTAATATATGAGAACTTTTTTCAAGTTGCTTTTTTTGTTTTGAAACAGGATCTCATGTAGCTGAGGCTGGCCTCAAACTCAATACATAGTCAGTGATTATCTTGAACTCCTGATCCACTTCCATCTACTTCTAAAGTGCTGCGATTATGGGCCTTTGCCATTTCAGATGCTCTTAAACATTGAAATTGGTGAACAAATTGACACCATAGTCCCCCTGACTCTTAGGAAATGTCTTCCTGCATAGTTTGTTCCTCTTCCATGGATAAGGACAAAGGATCGACTAACTAGTTTACGAAAGACACAAAAGTTTGACATATACCACATTATACGTCCTTTGGGGACAACACAAAACAATGTGCATAAACAATATTTCCGTCCTAGACAACTGCTTAACAGATGAGTTTTCTGAATCCAGTTATAGATACATCAGTGGGAGGAATTCTTGATTCAAAATCCTGACTCTCTACCTACCTACAGTGTGCTGTTGCACAAGCTACTTTTGCTCCTTGAACCCTATCTTACAGTTTACAGAATGAGCAAAGATCGTTGCCTACCTTCACTTACAGAGTAGAATGAAGGATCAAATGAACTAATGGATGCAAAATGGTCTTGTAAATTCGAAAGCACCGGTCTGCAGTGATGCACCTCCCCTGCTAGCATCATCATGCATACTCTTGTTAAGGACTGAAGACACTGTTGGATGACTGGATGCTAAGTCAAGATTCCGTCCCCTCACAACAAAGCTGCTCATAGCACCGCAGGCAGTGCTATTCCCATCCTCAGTACCACCATGATTGCTACTTATGCAGCAGTCTTCCACAGAGAAAAGGGGATCAGATGCTTTGACACCTGAATTGCTGGGTATCAAATCTCTCCCATTATCTTTCCAAGGAACACAATGCATTGCAGCTGGAAAGAGACAATCTGACTTGAAGCCAAATGGGGCTGGCTTCAAGTTGCTCGGTGCAATTGGCTCTTCAGGAAGTGAGTTTGGTGCAGCCAGAGTACCGTGCTCCTCGCTCCCCATGTAATTAGATCTGAATTAGAACTGCACATTCAGGAAACTCTTCTGTCACTTTTTGTCAAAGATTTCTCCTTGAGTTGCTTGAAATATCTATTAAAAACTTAGCCTAAAGCAGTATCTTTTGAATACCAGCTCACTAATTCAGATAGTGAAGCACTGTGACCATCCACTCCTAGCTTGCAAATGGATAAACTACTCAAAAGACGTTTTCCACCCCTTAAATATACTTCCAAGAAAGAATAGGAAATGCTTCATGCCTCTAATGGAAGCTATTTGCTACAAAAACAAGTCATTCAGGTCCGTGGAACTAGAAATGTCTTTTGCACATAAAACTGAAAGGAAAAGACAGCAAAATAGCAGCCAAAGCCAGAAAGTCATCACCCACAAAGCACATGATTCAAATCAAAATGAAATCCTCATTGGAAAAATAGGCTACCCACACACCCCGCATCACAGCTGGGCTTATAGTAGTTGTCAGTTTATGTGTAAAAGAAAGCAACCAACATTTTTTGCATGAATTTCATGGAAACTGAGCTCGTTGTTCTTTGTTAGTAGCTAATGTAAATATCACAGCAAACAGCAGTTTGGTTGCCTGAAAAAGAAAAGTAGAACATTTCAAAATGCTCATACATAAATCCTAACATCAAATTGTACAGATCCTAAGAGGCTGAAACACGAGCACCAAATGATGTGCTTAAAACATTTGTTCTTTCTTGAAGAGCTGAGGTATAATTGTATGCAATCATCTTGTACTTAGGAATTATATTAAGAACTCTGAACTATACGTATTAAGTCGTCTCTTATCCTATTTTTCTCTCCCATTCTGTCACTGCTTCCTGAATTTCTCATTAGAACTGCATAATTCTATGCCCCACAATATATAGGTTTCCTCAGAAAATGAAGGCAGCTTTCCCTTCTCCTCTTCCTCAGAACCTCAAGTGGTGAAACTCATAGACAAATAATTCCAATGAACAATAATGCATTTGGGGGTAAAAAAAATTAAGTTATTACCGCCTTGTCTTTTCAGAAATATTTAGCATATCTTTAAAATCTGCTTTCATTATCCTTTGAGAAAAGAAAACACATTCTAGAAGAAAGGTTAATGGGAAAACATGAGTTACATCATGACATTAAATACAGATTTCTTTTCCAAAGCTAAAAACCACACTCCTCCTTCATTCGGTTCTAAAGAAGGCATAACATCACTGGCTAATGGGCTGTCCACAAATGACCATTATTGAATGAATAATAAAGGAATAATAGCAATGTGATTTCCACTTACATCAACCACAAAAATCTTCTGGGAATCATCCAAAAACTGCACTTTCAAATGGAGCATCCTCGGAGAGGCTGTTGGGCTGCAAGCAGGCTCAGAGTGCTATGGGTGCTGTGACAGGAAGGGGGCTTTCTCCAGGAATCTCACTCTCAGTTGGATGCTGAGCACTCAGGTCCCCCACCCCCAGCCAGACATCCCTACTTTCAACGGGGCCCACTTCTATTTGCTTGGAGTGAAGATCACGAAAGGGCGTTTGCACTGCCTAGTGCTGGGGATCAATAGCATCTGGGCAGCCCCCTCTTTGGTCAACGTAAAATCCAACTGGACTTTAAATGTAGTATAATTCTGCAAAGAAAAATAAAAATATAAGGAAACAGTTCTGATTCTCTTTTCTTTATGAGAGAATGATTTGGAGACACTTGATGAAGCTCAGAGAAGCTGAGAAGAGCCATTCTCAAAAGCAAAACAATGAGAGTTAGTCTCATATTATACTAGAAATTTTGTGGCTGAGCTAAGTTCCGTGACTTACACTTTATACTTTGAAACTATATGCTATTTTAGTTAATTTTAATTTATATGATTTACAGATAAAAACTAATACTCTTTATCCTTGTATATCTTTTATCTATATAAATCTATATATTATATATCCACACATTTTAAATTATTTTGAGCTTCCATGATATAGAATAAAAAGATACAACAAGCACTATCTAGAAAGCCTCATTTGAACACATCCTACTTTGTTCTATGCCACACACCCCTATCAGTAATCAATTTGAGATTTGTTTTCTGTTGTAATTGCTCCACTTTAAGTGTTTCCTTGTGTAAACACCGTATAAGCAAATCCAAGTGTATTTTTCTCACTTAGATAACAGGCTATTATGCTGTTTCATGCCTTTCTTTTCTTCATACACCATGCAGACCTCCCTCCAGCAGTGCATGGAAAATCTCCTCCTTTCTTTTTACAGCTGCAACGTTTTTGTGCTGTGTTTACGAACCACAGCATATTCGACTAGTCTGAGATTATTATTTCTGCCTCAATAAGCGAAAATAAATATAATCATACACATGTCACTTTTTATGCGTGTAGGTCTCAGAGATTTCCAGAAGTGGAGTTGCAGGTCAACAGCAATGAAGTGGTAATTCTGTTCATCTTTTCTAAGATTCCCTTTATAAGAGATATTGTGGATTGAATTGTCACGTAACATTCTTGTGTTGAAATGGTAATACCCACTCAAAATGGGAATGAATTCGGAGATCGGGGTTGGTCTTGAAAGAACTAAGTAAAAGGTAATTAAACTGATATAAGGTTACTAGGATGAGTTCTAATCCTGTCTGGTGTCCTTAGAAGAATAGGGAATTCAGCCCCAGGAACATAAAGGAGAAAACATAATACAGCAATATTTTGATGGCATGGGAAAGAGATGGACACCCCTAAGCCATAGAAAGAGTCATTCAAAGAATTCAGTCCTATTAACAGGTCAGTTCTGAACTCAGACGTCTATCTTTGAAATTAGGAGAAAATTAATTTCTGGTATTTATGTTACCCAATCTATGTTTTGACAGCCCTGGCAAATAATGCAGTGATCTTATCAACTTGCTGTTCCCCAATGTAGGAGAATGTCTTAGTTTTTACATGGGCTAGATGAGAAAGTATGATATCCAAACTGATAGGTGATGAGAAAAAAAATCTGTATGCTTGTAAATTTGAATTAGTTTACATAACAATGTTCAGGGAACATGTTGATTTCTTTTCTGAAGGTGAACATTCTGTTCTTGTACTTCTTCATTTGTCTTTTAAAATATTGTTTTATTATCCTTGCTCTGCTATTTCTAGGAAATATTAAAAAAACATTTTTATTAATTATTTGGGAATTTCATACAGTGTACTTAAATAATGTTCACCCCCTACAGTCCTCTCCCTAACTTCTCCCAATTCTACCCCTACCTTCCTACTGCTGCAAACTTCGTGTCTTCTTTTTTATTTTAATTTATTTTTCTTTAGTTACCCATCAGTTCCAATTTGTGCTGTTCATATACTTCTAGATATGAGGCCAACCACCAAAGAACAGTTTAATCACCAGGAGACATACCCTTAAACAAAACTGACTCTCTGTCCTCCAGAAGCTATCAACTCTCAATAGCTCCTCAGTTAGGCGTGGTGGCTTGTGAATCCCTTTCCACTCCATGCTATTTTGTTGACTGGCTTGATCTCATGCAGGTCTTGTGCAGGAGACCACAGCTGCTGTGAGTTAATGAATGACGCAGTTGATCCTATCATGTTCAAAAGATACTGTTTTGTTCTGATGCTCTGCAACCTCTGGATCTTATAATCATTCCACCAGCCCCTCTTCTGAGATGATCCCTGAGCCTTGGGGAGGGGGTGGGATATAGATGTTCCACTTGTGGTTGAGTATTCCACTGACACTTATTTTCTGCACTTTGATCTTGTGAGTTATTCTGTTAGCCAGCATTCACTGCACGAAGAAACTTCTCTGGTGAGGTCTAAGAGCTTTGCTAATCTATGGGTAGAGAGATGTGAATTTAGAGGGCAGTTTGATACTATGTTCATTTAGCAGAATAATAGCAAATACCTTCACCCACAGGGCCTGTGAGCTCTCAACCATGGGTTCTTAGTCAGATTTACAGTAGCAGGTATGAGTTTCTTCCTGTAGAGTAGGCCTTAAATTCAACCAGAAAAAGGTTGGTTACCTCCATAACATTCGTGCCACTATGTCTTTCATAGTGGTATCTTGCCATGTTGGTCCTTATTGCAGTTAACAAGGTTCACAGTTGGGTAACACTGTTGATGGCTTCCCCCCAGAAGCCTGCATAGCACTTTCCAGTACTATATAGCTGGCCAACAGGGCGGAAACTTCCAGGTCAATACCAACTTGATTTCTCTATGTCCTGTGACCAAAGTGCATCTTCAGCAATAGGGTCTTACCATCAAGTTCCATTGGACAACAAAGAGCACGGGCAATAGCCTGTATTGTTTTGGAATTCTCTGGGATAACTCTGACTAACAACTCGAGAGGTATTCCACACCTGGCACTAGGCTTTTATTTGGCAACCTATGGCTTCAGAGATGAGGGTAACTACAATTAAACTCATTTATATAAATATAGATGTCTATCATTGTATTTTAGGAAGGTTACAAAATATAGGCTTCCATATGACATTTTCAAATATCCCTCCCTCAACTACCTTCTCTGCCCAACCCTTCATTCATTCTTCCCACTTCAAACTCCCTCCCCATTCTTTTCCCTTTTCCCTTCATATCACCTGTTTTTTACTATCCTCCTTAAGATCTTTTTTCTTCCTCCAAACCAATAGTCTGTTTCTCTTTTCCTGGGTTCTCCAGGTACTCCAATTTATCCTATTAAAATGTAGGAATACAAATATCAGTTATAGAATGTCTGTCAAGCATATGTGAATTTCTGGGTTTGATCCCCAGCCCAGCAAAATAAATAAATTAATGAAACAAATAAATGAAATTAGAAAGAGTTATTTTTTTGACATCACTTATAAACAGTTTCATGAAAATTTTCTTAATTTAGATTATATTTATATTGACTCTTTGAGATTTCATATATGTACTTTGATCATATTCAGATGTAAGGAAATTTGTCAACTGTTTTAAAATAGTCTCTGGATTTTTTATTACATTTTATTTAGTTAGTTTGTGTGCAATTGTGCAGGTCCCAGTGTGTGAGCTTGAGGAGATCAGGGGACAACTTGCAGGAATGAGTTCTCTTTTTCACCTGTTGGGATCTAGGAATCTAACTAAGGTCACCAGGCTTGGTTGCAATCCCCTTTATCTACAGCCATCTCATTGGCCCCAGGTTTTGGATTCTGAGTGACAGAAAGGCTTTCTTCATGTCAAAGTTTTATTTTAGTAATTAAATGGTTTTCTTTTAACTTAAATCTTTAATCTATTTTACTTTCGTCATGATGTATGGGGTGAGGTATGAATCCATTTCAATCATTTTCCAAACACCTCCTCACTTCCCAAACATTATTAATCAGAAAGTTTATTTTTAATTACACTGATCTGAGAAGCTGAATTTATCATATATAAAATACATACTTAAATCTTTTGATGATTTTTATTCTCTTCCATCCATGCACAAATATTCCTGATTTTTCGAAGCTCCAGAGTGTGTTTTCATGGCTAGTAAAGCTATTCTATGCTCCATTGTTTTTTTAAATAGTTTTCATGGTTATTCTTGTTTACTTATTTTTTCTATATACTATAACCTTGTTCAGTTCCAGGAAATGAATATTATATATCCTGTTAAAACTATAAATTTATTTAAGAATAAATTGATATCTTTGTGAGTGGTGAGTGGTGGGCCATGGTTTTCAATTTGTTCAGGTGGGGTTTTTGAAACGGGTCTCCTTGTAGCTCCAAGTGGCCTGGAACTCACTATGTAGATCAGGCTGGCCTTGATCTCACAGAGACTCACTTGCCTGCCTCCGCCTCCCAAGTACTGGGATTAAAGGCCTGTGCTATGAGGCTTGGTTCCAGGCTATTTTCTAAAATTTATTGTTAAGTGTATGGAAGCACATGTGGACATCAGAGAACCACTTTTGGCAGTTGCTTCTCTCCTTCCGCTGTGGGTTCTAGGAATCAAACTCAGGTCATCAGGCTCATGCAGCACAGCACTTTTATTCACTGAGCTATGTCTCCACCCCTTGTTCCATTCTACTGTTATGCTCTTCTGTTCTAGAATGTTGTTGTATCTAAGAACCATTTTTATAGATCCACAATAGCAAAGAGTACAATAAACTCTGAAACATCATCATTCAAACTTTATCCTCAGTACCTAGAAACATGACTGTATTTAGATGTAGACACTTGAAAGAGATAAGTTAAAATGAGACCATCAGGATGGGCACTGACCCAAGCTGTTGGATTTTTGGTTTGGGTTCTGTTTCGAAGCAAAGCCTCAGTATGCAACCCAGGTTGTCCTTAGACTTGCAATATTCCAGTTTCAGCCTCTGAAGTGTCAGAATTACAGGTGTACACCATCATGCTCAACTTCTGGCTGGTGTTCTTATAAGAAGATAATATTAAGATAAACAGCAGGGATGTGTGCACACAGAGAAACACCACTGAGGGCACAGTGAGAAAACAGCCATCAGTGATTGAAGGAGAAAGAAAAGCCCAAATTATAGCACCTTATTCTTGGAATCCTTGCCTCCTAAATTGTG